TGGGCCTGAGGTAGTTGCATACACCCAACTGCTTTCGGCCTGTGCTTGGCCCGGTACCCGTACCCAGCCCAGGGCCTGCTTTACATTCATTCACACAGGCGGCCCAGGGCGTGAGTTCATTCAACCAACTGATGCTGTGTAACTGCCTGAATTTCCCCATTTGCGGGGTACCCTGAAAACGAGGCCCTGAGGGCCTGTCGTGCCTGCCTTCACTTAGGGCAGCCGACCTTGCTGCAAATAAGGCCCGTAGGGGCTAAGCGGGCGTAGCCTCGCAAGTGTGGCCTATCCAGTGTGATACTGAGTGGTGGCGGGATGACAGGTTCATTACGAATTTCTGGGCTGAGAAAACATGAGAAAGGCAAAAAAAAAAAAAAAAGAAACAGAGACCTGCCACCGGAAATCCCGGCAGAGTGCTTCCCAGCCATCAGATCACAGATGATCTGATGGTGGTGGCTGCAACAACAGTGAACAAGTATCTGCCACTTTTTTTCTGGAATAAACTCGACTTCTGTCAGGAGTGATGCTGACAGCCTCCATATACTCTGTGATTGAAGGAGGGCTTCACCCAATGGGATAATTGCACAACAGCAAGTAAAATACTGAAAATCTTCTATCCAGTGGGCCTATGACCGACCCCACCGTCTTTTGGGGTTGGCCACACCCCCAACCGATTGAAAAGATTCTGGCGGGAAGCTTTCTTTGCACGGGCGTGCCCAGTGTTAAGGAGAGGAGGAGGGGAACAAAGATCTTCTTACTTTTTCGGGTACTACATGTAAAATACTGACCGTGGGATCACGAGTACTGCACGGCAGGATTTGGGTCACTCAACTGTCCCACAAACTCGTTTCTATCCTATCCCGTTGCTAGTGGGACCATGCTCCTGGGGGTAGTCAGCTCGACGATGATATCTTGACAAGGTTGCCCACTTAAAAGATAATAATTTCAACAAAAAAAAAAGCGAAGGTCCATTCCTGTGGGACAGGTTAGCAAAAACTCTATGTCTGTGCACTGTTGGTGTTGGCGCACTCATCGCAGAGACCTTCGCAGAGACAAGATATTTGATTGCAGGGAAAGTGTGTGTAGTATGATCTCTCTCTCTCTCTCTCTCTCTCTCTCTCTCTCTCTCTCTCTCTCTCTCTCTCTCTCTCTCTCTCTCTCTCTCTCTCTCGGACTGCTGGCTCGCTGTAGCGAAGCTGATAAAACGCGAATACATTTCGTTCCATCAAACTCCGGGACCCCATGTTTGCTGTGCGTTCTCTTTCTTCTCAGTTATTTCTCGGTTTATGCGTGGCCAATGGCCATGCTAATCTTTTCCTTAATTGTTCCGATTCGTTGCATCATTCCAGTTTTAACGGATGTCCCAAAGGATCTTCTCCGTTGCTTCTACGTCGAACTAACCTTTATTTTTCTGTATCTTGTGATTGCTTGCTTGTTGAATTAAAGGTGGAAACGAACGTCAAGCTGGGAATGGATGCTCTGCGGGGTCAGCAAGGTCCTGCATATGACCGCATCGTTTTCAACGCGGCTATGGCGGATCATCTTCTTGGCTGCGTTGGTGCAGAGGACCCTTCCGTTGCAATTCAAAGAGCGAGGGATGCTGTCGACAGCGGCAAAGCTCTCAAACGACTTGAAGCCTATATAGAAAGAAGCAGGCAGTTATCATAGGAAGGGGGGGAAGGGGAAGGGGGGRGGGGGGGGGGGGGGWATCATAGGAAAGGGGGGTAATGCGTCAGACTCCGCTGTCCAACCAGCCTGCTGACCCTCGTCGCCTCGATTCAAACTGTTGTGTCAGAAATTCGGAAGTGTGTCACAGGTTAGCTCGTTTGGACCCGGCCGTCGATTCAAATCAGTTGCCGTCTGACGAATTCTTCTGCCCTTTGCCAGCGCAGCAAGCCAGAGCGGGAACACCGAAAACCGTGTCAGATAATTCTCGTTCTTTGGTTTGATCTCTCACGTATCCCTTCTGAACCTGGTCCCCTTTGCCTGGACCGTTCGCATTGGCCTTTGCTTTGATTGGTGTCACTGTGGACTCGCACGGACCAGCCGACCATGATGAGATTTAAACTACCTGTATATTTGAGCCGCTTTTGTACCCTGGGCCGGTTTTCAACAACATTAAGAAAAAAAAGAAGAGCCGCTTTTGTCCGAGGCGGAGGGATTCCCCCTGCGTATCGCACGTAGCGAAGACGCTGAAATTTTGGGTCCACGGGATCTTCGCCTTTTTTTTCTGCAGCCTGGCAGGCGGTGCTGCCACGTAGTGGCCTCGATATTTTAGTTATATATGTCGCACGTCGGCGCTGTTGCCGGTGCTGCTGGTGATAGTCCAGATGCGAAGAGTCTGCCTTTTTATGCTTGTCGTGTTGCTCCTTTAGGGTCGAAGAAACAGCCATTTCGCCAGAACAGATGTTTTATCGTTTTTGAGCGAAATTGAAGCCTACTTGTTTGGCGCTAAAAGTATCACCGTTTTAGCTCTTCAGGGTCTGTCTGGACTTTAGCTAAGGGGGTCCGGCGTGTTTAGATGGTGACATTCTTAGGGCCAAATACGTAGGTTCCAGTTATGCTAAAAAAAAATTAAAAATGTCCGTTTTAACGAAATGGATGGGGAGCGCTACCGGGAGCGCTTCGCAGCTCGACGTTATTGTCCTGGGTGAGGGTGGGAAATGACGAGCGGTTAGGGCGCCATGTCGGCAGCTTCAACGCGAGGACGAGAGTGCGGGGCGAGCAGACAGCAAGTGGATGATGAGGTGGTAGAGGGATCGTTGGACATGGAGTAGCAGGCTAGTTGTGGCCGGACGTTGCTGAACGCTCCCCTGTCTGCTGTTTTGTCACGTGCTTGTTTAAGAGGAAGAACACAGGGGCAGCATATCTCATATCAGGGTCTCGTTGGAGAGGAGGAATACCGTTCAGGGGAGTAAGGGAAGGCAGGCAGGGTGGCAGGGAAGACACTGTGTCTTCATCGTGGGAGCGAGGATGTTGAAGACAGGTCTTGTATAGGCGGGCGACGTCTGCAACGATGATACCCCTTCATCTCTTTGAGCTATCTGCGAGGGGCGGCTGGCAGGCTCAGCTTTGCAGGTTGGATTGCTGTGATGGTATTCCTATCTGCGGTACTGTTATCTTCGTCTTTCGGTCCTGGGATGATTGTGCGGTTTTGAAGTAGAGGTAATAAACTGTTTTCTATAAACCGATTACCCCCCTCGTAAAACTAAATTTCGTAAACATCATAGAGGAAGAATGAAAGGGATTTCTACAAGAGGGAATTCAATTGTTTTTGGAAAGTTTGCTTTACAAGCCTTAGAGCCGTCTTGGAAGTGTTGTTGACCACAGGAGGCCGAGTTGCTTGAGAGCCGCTGAAGGCGGAGGTGAGGTTTGGAGAGAGGGGAGGTTCGTTTAGGGACTGTCGAGGGTAAGTTTGTGTTCTTCCTCTTCATGTTTCGTAGTGATGATTCTGACATAGTAAGGTCACAGTTCTTGTAGATCCTGATGAGATTCATAACGATTGTGATTCCCAGATTGCCTTGTCTTGTTGTCTTTCTAGCCTTGAATTCTAGATAAGTAACTAAAATATGACTAATAAATCTGATCTTGAGGTTTGTAAATCAGGATTAATTCTGCTCTAATCTGTGTGCCTATTTTTTAGTTTCGAAGTTCATATACGTCCTTCATATGACTGTGCTGCAGCAAGTCTTGCCGGAGTGGGGTAAATAGGATTGGTGGGGGGTGTCCTGAAACGTAGGACTTGCGGGTTTTCCTATCAGCCCTTTTGAGGTGGTTCCATGAGCAGTGGGTTTAATAGGTTAGCAGTATACTCAAACTTTCTTAAAAAATTATCAAACTGTCCACGGTATTTCTCAGCCAAAGCCGGGTAATGGCCCTGGTATACTAATGTTTGTACAATTCATATGGGATGCTGCGCCCGGTTCCCAGCATGTGTGGCTCCCCACAAATAGATTGGAGCATTTGTCCAAAAAAAAAAAAAAAAAGATGTTAACAACTTATCATTGTTATAAGAGATGTGTATTTGTCCAATCGATGTAACGACGTAAATGTGAGATAGTAGGAGGCGCTCACACGAATGTAAGAGCTAGAGGAGCCCCAATGTTAGGGTGATCATGGTGTTTTGCTTTTTTATCCACATATCCAACGCTTAGGGATTTTCAGACGGGCACCAAGCTTTGCCGGAATGCCTTTTGTTCTTGCTGGCGCCGCTTACCATTTTGGTTCGGCTTCCCCGAGCGTCGGAGGGAAATTTTCGGGATTAGCCGATTTTGATTCGCAAGTTGCCTGGGACCCATGTACTGATGCAAGAGGATGATCGCACTCACAGTGTCGCACCTCGCGGACGCTCCTGCGCAACTCCCTTCCTTATGGGATTCCAAGGCCGCTTTCAAAGTTATATGCATGTTCTATATTACAGGTTATGTGCCAGATTCGCACTGGATCAGGTTATGGGTTTTCACATCTCTTCAGTGTACTGACCGATATCCATGGACGGTTCGCTTCGCACACGTGCCAGCATTTGGCAGATGTGCTCCAGATGAGTTTCAGATTTTGTGACCTCTAAATGCTGACTTTCGCGTTGGGTGGACCTGCGCATCCGCGCGGCCTTTGCTTTGACTGAGACTACCGTCCTCAGCCGAATAGAACGCCCGGTAATTATCGTCATATCTGGGATGAAAGTTGTGCCAAATACAGCTATAATGACCAGGCGTTCTATACGGCTGAAGACGGTAGCAGGTTCGAACTATAGTTTATCACAAGTAGTCAGATTCTGCCAGCAAGTCGGTTCCGGTGCGTCAGAGCCTGACACATTGGACCCGGAACCACTCCTCGGGCCGACCCAAACTGGTACTAAGTGATGTTAGGACAGGTGGTCTGCGGTTGGGACAGGTTCCAGTGACGCACTTACTCAGGTTCAGCCTTTTAATATGGCTTTCGGGGCCTTCGGGCATAACAAAGGAGGTTCTGGTAAGGAAGCAGGCTCCGACGCGGCCATATGAGGGGACCACGCTTTGTATTTTTTGTCTTTTTGGTGAAGGTTTTCCATGTGGGTCTGCTCCAAGCGAGGGCCTGCGCAGACGAGTATGAAGTACTCTGCGGGTGTATAGAAGGTTGCTGTGGATCAAATATTATGTCGACTTCGGTTCTGAGGATCAATCATGAGCAGATATGGCCGTCCAGGCCTTATCTGGGATGCCTAACCTGATCAACCGGGATGCCAAAGCAGTCTGTGTCTCTGCTTGTTCGATGGCCCGAGACAATTTCTCCACCTGCGCAGTCGGTTTTGCAGCTCCACCTTATTCGCTCGCATATGAAATCTGAATCTTTTTTTTTTTTTTTTTTTTTTTTTTGAGACGATGCTCCAGTCTATTCTTGGGGAGCAACACGACTGGGAACCGGGCCCGGCGTCCCTTATCAGAATACAAAAATGAGCTACCGGGGCCATTACCCGGCTTCGGCTAAGAACAATTGAAGAAAAGGGAAAACTCGGAAACATTCATGGTCCACTACTCAAACTCTACCAAGTCACTAGAATATGTGTGTCTAAAAGCCTCCCAACCACGAATCAGATAGGTGAAACCTATTCAATCCACCTACGACCACCACCAGCATGGCTGTTTTCAGCACGAACCGAAGCTCTTCCAGGCCTCATGCTGCCATCAGATTAGGTTACAGAGTTGCACCACCTTGCTCCAGCACCGACCAGCATTGCTCCAGTTACGACCCCCAATGACCACTGAGACTGCCCGCGCAAACAGCCCCCCAGATCTCTCTACCAGGCCTCACGCCTCCACTAAGCTAGGTCACAGAGTTGCACCACCTGGCTCCGGCTCCGTCCAACGTTGCTCGAGCATCGGTCTTCGAGGGCCACCGAATTTTCGACCACCATTCACAGGTCCTGGATCACAGATGACTTGCCAGGTAGCACCTATTCCTACAACCTCCTCGAGAGGCAAACCAAATGGAAAGAAATACTAAACTGGATGTTAGAATTCTTCGAGAGAGATCGCCCCTCCCTCCCCCTACCCCTCCCCCCTCAGCCCTACACTGCCTCCGCCGAGGCGAGTCACCCACTCTCCCTCAGCCCCAATATAGTACCAACCCTCTACCGCCCTTTCCCCAGGAGCACGCAGTTCCCACCTAAAGCATGCCCCCTTGACCCTTGCCCATTTCTGCCTCTGCTGGGACTGATGTTGACCCACACACCAGCCCCTGCCCCAGAATAGGCCAACCCCCTACTCCGCCCCTACCGTGTTTGAGACATTCACCCCCCACCTTGTGATGCCCCTGCAAGATAGAGCTCCCCCCAACCCCTCCTTTCCGTTCAGCCCTCCGGGAACGATCCGATCCAGTTGAGTTTTTTTTTGTTTTTTTTTTTTTATTATTATTTTTTTTTTTCTGGAAACTGCCCCATCTATTGGTGGGGAGCATCACCTGCTGGAAACTGGGTCCAGCGTCCCTTGAATACATCTTTACAAATCTTTCCATTTGAAAAAAAAAAGGACACCACTGTGCTGGAAAACGGGTCCAGCGTCCCATATTGAAACTTTAACCCCCTTCCTAGCCTGTGGCCTGGTCGGGTAAAGGGTGGAAGGCCACTGGGGGGCACCAGTGGAGTTTCCCTCCTTCACCCAGCCCCTGCCTACCCCTTACTTCCCGTGGCGTCGATTGTATACTTAGAATCGTGTGCTGAGAGATCAGATCCGATCCAGTCAACCACAGTTATTGATGACACCTTTTTTTTTTTTTTTTTTTTTTTTTTTAATGGGAACGAAGCTCTAATCTATTTGTGGGGAGCAGCACATGCTGGAAACCGGGCCCAGCGTCCCATATTACATCGAATTTAGAAAATTTGAGATACCGGGGCCATTACCCAGCTTTGGCTGAGAGAAAATTGAAGCTACTTAGGAGATTACTATGACAAACTTCAGAATTGGACAAAATTCAGAAACCAACTCAGGAGCCCCCCGTCAATCCTCTTTACCTCACTCCGGCAAGACTTATGGCAACAGAGCCACCATCTTCATTGCTGCTGTACCCTATTTCCATCCTACCAGCTAGCCCCCGCACTAGTAGCATGCTTGATATCCCACCATCTACTTCTCCCACTCATCTACAAGACTCAGACCCCCCAAACCATCCCCTGTACCCCACTCCGGCAAGACTTACTGCAGCAGAGCCACCATCTCCGCTGCTGCTGTGCCCTATTCCTGTCCTACCAGCTAGCCCCTATGCTAGAAGGACGCGTAATATCCCACCTTCTCCTTCTCCCACTCTCATCGGTCTCTTGAGAAATCGTCTAAGCAATATGGAAAACATAGAAATAGACCTCATAGGTCTTACAAATGCTCAAAAACCTTTGAAATCCCTAACAAACCCTTCCAAAGCACTCCGACACTGTCCTACTCCCTGCCGAGCTCTTCCAGGTCTCACACCCCCACATCTTGCTAGGTTACAGGGCAACAACTCACCCCAGCTCCGACTAGCATCGTCCCAGCAGCAACCCTTAGTTGTCCCGTGGAATGCCCACCCCAAAGCATCCCCAGATCTCTCTACCAGGCCTCACGCTCTTGCGTCAGCAGGTCACAGGGCAACGCCTCAACACCGCCCAGCGTCGTTCTGGCATCGAACAGCCACAGGTCACTTAGTATAACAACATCGAATCCACCTAAGAAGAGTTGCTAGGAATCCCAAGAGTGCAAAAACATTCTTGAGATCATCAATCAGCCATCCGCGTATGATCAACCCTGAGATCTGTTTTTTGATATTTTTTTTTTGAAAAGAAAACAGTCAACCCTCCTCCCATTCCTTTTCACCCCTTACTCTTCTTCATCTCCCGATGAGTCGGCCTCCTCCACCACATAGTTCGGGAGAGAAGAACAATAGACCAACGACCTCACCAAAATCCCCTCGCGATGAAAAACAAACTTCAATTTTTCCTCTTCCTATAACAGGCCGACCTCCTCCACCACATAGTTCGAAGGAGGAGGAAAAAGTAGTTCGCTCCATCACATTGTCAACCCTACCCAAACCTCAGATACTGATCAGGTCCTTCGCCTGCCTACCCTAAACCAAAATTGACTCATGAGAGGTAAACTTCATGCAATCCAAATTTAAAACTGAGTTAGAGTCACTATTGAGAATCAAAAGATTAGAATTCGAAATTTGATTTATGAGTATTAGTATCAAAAGACTGAAAAATAGAAAAAAAACAGAATACAAAGTATTTCGATTTTCAACATTAGTTCATAATTGAGTAATCGTTCATTGAGATCAGAGCAAAGCTCTGATTTACGAATTTCCGATTAGGAATCTTGCTAAGAAATTACGAATTGCAACTCTGATTTGCGAATTTCAGATAATGAATCTTACTCATAAATTACGGATTGAAAATCGAGTCGAATTTCGATTAGGGATCTAAAAACACACAAAATCATTCAAACGTCCTCTAAAAAAGTCCGAGTCACGCCAACATCGGAATACATCATCGTTAGGAAAATCCAAATCATGTTTTACGCCAGAAAATTAAATACTCAGTTATGAATTTTATAACTTACAAGTTTGTAATCAGCTGGATAGGAAAGACAACAG